TAGATATCCCCATATCAAAGGATTGGGCCCAGAGAGCATCTTCAGTTCTCCAAGGCTCTCAGAATAAAGACGTAAGAAAGGTCATCCCATTTTGTTAGCAAGAATAAACACTGATAAGAGATAAAGATGCTGGTGTTTACACTTCCAGTATCCTAAACAGAGAGACTATACAGAAGAGAACAACCAAGGTACAGCAACAGACAAGCTGCATTGCTTTTAGTAAAGTGTTTTTGTAAGCAGGGCTGCCATTCTCTGTACATTTACCTGGGAGAAAGTCACATTAAACTCAGAGGGATTTTGGCATAAGCAGGCACAAGCCTAGGTTACATGAGAGGGTTTAACACAAATTCAGGTTATTTAATCTGTGAGATCTCCAGGACAGATCTCAGGCTTCTAAACCATTCTGCAGTCAAATCTCCCCAACCGGTTGACCACAACTCTCACACAAAATGCACTGAAATTAATTTTGGGTGAATTGTCGTGATTACTGCCAAAACTGACAATACCTCAGACGAGCCTCTGAGCATCTGGTGCTACCCAAATGCTTTGGAACACACACAGTTCATAGTATTCTTGACTACTGATCATGCATCCTAAGGTTGAGGAGAAATGCAATCCAAAACTTCTGGAGAGTACCAAGGCTACTTCCAACTTACTCCTTGAAATGGAGGTTACAATGATGTTGTAATAAGCTTTTTAAAAACACTTTGGGTGACAACAAAGGTGTCCGACCTCAGCTTAAGCGTCAGTAAGGGGAAGAGTTATCAACATGATATTTTCCCAGCCTTCAAGGAAGGAGAAGCAGGCTAGGGTTCCTCAAAATAAGTAAGAACTAGTCCGGAGTGGGGAATGTGTAACCCTCTGGTGTTGTTGGAGCACAACTCCTGTCATTCCTGATCGCTGGCAGTGCTGGATGGGAGCTGGAGTAGATCATCATCTGGAATGTGCCTGGTTCCATATTTCAATGGCAGGCGCAGCCTTTGTTTCCCATCGGTAAAGCAAGAACCACAGCAGCCCCTTTCACAGGAATTGTGCTGTTGTTGCTACATGCTGTCAAGTCACCTCTCACTCGGTGCCTCTCAGAAAGGTCCTGTCCTTGACAGCCCTTCTTCGCACTTGTAAACTTCTGTAGCATCTTCTTAGCAAGGATGATATTGTTCAATTCCTGTGCAGTTCCTCAGCCTCACCTAATCTGGTCTCCTCCAAATGTGCTAGAGTACAAATCACATTATCCACAACCAGCATGGAGAACGCCAGGCTGTGCAAGGCTGCATTAGATGCACTAAGTAATTAACAACCACCAGTTACTGCAAAGCAAAGACATAAATTTGAAAAGCGTGTGAGTTTATGACTGCAGCAAAGGAGAAGATGCAGACCCCAAGAACAGGAGCACCGCATGGGTCATGTGGCATTGCTCCAGGTCTTCTGGTGCAAGGAGAGGATCTGCCCTCAGAATGGGAACACAAGCAACATGACAAGTAAGGACTTGGGGAAAAAACTGCTGGCACCCGAGCTTCTCACAGCTATCACCCTCTGGCAGAAATAATAGTGGCAAGCTTTGGCATCACCTGAGAAGAAACAGCAAAGACTCTAGCAATCATCCTGGTTACCTGGAGCAGATGGCATAGCAGGCTGTGGGGAGGCAGAAGAGTTGAGAAAAGAGTGAAGAAGATAAAGCGAATATCAAAATGACCTTCCAAGAGTTTAAAAGGGGGGGTGGGGGTTCTCTTATGCAAGAGTACACCATCATACAAGCCCCATTTGGTTATCAATTCCTCAGAAGAATGGCAGCTGCTTACTTTTTCAGAACTGACAGGAAACTCTGCACTCTCCAAATCCATCTTTGGCATGTGGCGATATCACAGACCCTCCTTGTGAAGAGCAAACCCTCAGAGTGCAATACTTCTAATAATTCAGGAGATCTTGGAACAAAGAATGCACATAAAACTATGTTTGATCTGAAGAAGGGCCTAACCTCATCCAGCATTCTGTTCACATAGTGATCACCAGCTAGCTAACAGTGTTCCATGGCAATTAACATATGCAGACATACTACCTGAATGACTAGCAGCCACAGGCAGCCTTATCCTCCACAAATCTATGAAATGCTTGCATCTGCTCCAAACAATAGAGGTGTGTATGTTGGCGGTGGAGTTGGCTGTAGCTCAAAGGGCCTGGGCACCAATACATTGTGCTGTCAGACTCAGGCAACCTGGATTCAAAATGGTGTAGTCACAACACTCACTGGGGCAGTCACCCTCTCAGCTTTACACTCACAGGACAGCATGCTAGACGTGTAAGAAAACTTAAAAAGAAAACAAGAACGATAAAAAGAAACTAAAAAGGGATAACTAAGCAATTATTTGCCACATTGGCAGGAAGTGGTTTATGGGCTCTCTCCTAGAAGCACGTTAAAAGCCCAGTCGGATACACGCTTCATCAGAAGTCCCACTGAATGCAATAGAGCTTACTCGGCAGTAAGCAGGTGCAGGAGTGCAACTTCATCATCCAAGTCTAAGCTTGAGAAAGTTTGCCCACTCTGAACAAAGGGCTCTCCTCCTCAGCAAGCAAGCACAGAATGGCAGCCTGAGGAATTAACTGAGCATGGTTAACTCAGAAGCAAAGGCCCACCTTGTATAATTCCACCCACCTAGCCAGGTCAAAAGTGCATTCCAACTTTCCCTAACCCAGCACCCTCACGATATTTTAGACTACAACTCCCAGCATTTAGACTACAGCTCCCACCACTGGCCATGTCAGCTGGGGAGATGGAAACTGAATTCAAAGATTATCTGAAGAGCACCAGTTTTTTGGAAGTGGGGTAGGGCCAGTAGCATTACAGGAACTCAGTTCCCACTCCAATTCTAGGCATTCGCCTTGACTCATAAGCAAGCTCAGCAGCCATGCAAAAGAAGTTACTTTTGAGGAAGAGTCCAGGACTTACTGGTCAAGATCCATTTCCTAAATAGGTAAGGCCAGGAGGAAGCTTTGACTGTCTCTCCTCACATAGTTTTCTGATGACTTTTTTTGGGGAGGGGGGATTTTAAGAATCGGTGGAAAGAAATGGATCCGATTCCTCCGACTTACCACCTTCACCCCACCTCGAACGAGGAGTGCGAGAAAGGCGATCTCGAGAAGGCACGAACAATGGAAGAGGGTTCCGGTTCCTAGAAAGGGAAGGCGTCCCCCCCCCCCCCCCGCGCCGGCCGCCTGTAGGAAGCCCGAAGGCCCGGTCGGGCAGGCGAGAGGGACTGTCGGTTACCAGCTTGGGCAGGGCGGGGTGGTGGTTGTTGATGTATCGCTTTGGGATATTTCTTTGAGGGGGGATCGGAACTCGGCACTTTCTTCTCTGGAAGCGGAAACAGCCCGTGAGGGCGTCGAGGGAAAAAGTCCTTTCTTTATAGAAGCGAAGAAAGAGGCTTCGCCGGCAATGTGTGAAGTTACAACTACTACTTCGACTGCAAATAATCCTAAACCAGAGATCACATCCTTTAAAACTGAAGTGAGACTATAAAGAAAATATATAAGTTAGCACCTATTTTTTCTTGTCCCGGAAAGGATGGGTGCCCGAGTGTGCCTCAACCCGGCTCAAACCTCAATGATCCCGGCTCAGCGCGCCACGCAAGTCCCCGGCTTCGCCGGGCCGACTAGGCCGCAGCGGCGCTCGAGACCGGAACTTGTCCCCTCCTCACGCCCCCCTCTTCCTCCCGAGGCCTCGATCCCCGCCTCGTCTCTCCTTCCCTCCCTCTCACACACCGGCCGGTTCCACCATTTCTATCCCGCCCCCCACCAAGCTTTTTCCCTCACCGGGGCTGCGGGTGAGGGGAGGGGGCGAGAGAGAAAGAAATTCTCCTCAGAAAAGAATAATAGAAGATTATTATCATTATTATTATATTTAAAGGAAAAGCGGGGGAGGGGGGCAGGAGAAAAAGGGGCGGGGCCGGCGCTTAAAGGGCCCGCGCGCAATTCCCGGAGCAGGAGCCGCCGCCAACTTTACCTGAGTCTCCGCCGCCGCCGCCGCCGCCACACAACACTGACAACTAACCCAGAGCGGCCGCGACCGCCTCCTCCACCACGTGACGCGAAGGGGGCGGAGACCCAGACACGCTTCGGCTTGCCCGCGTCACGTGCCGGGCCCTCTCGCGACCACACCCTTTCCCCCCTTTTCATTCCGCTCCATCCCCTTTCGCGGTCGGGAAGCGGAGAGGTTGGGTGCGCACGCGCACACGCGTCAATGGGTGGGTTTGTTTGTTATCTCTCCGCGCACTCTGCCACGTGACTCCTGCTCCCCGCCCCCTCCTTCTCCGTCGGATATTTTTCTTTATACGCGCTACGTATAGGGTAGCCACAGTAACGAGCAGCAGTTGTTACTTCTGGTTCCCCCTCGAATAGCCTCCCTTCCTCTTTGTGGAGACGACCTTGGGATAGGGAAAGCGGTGTAATACTGCAACATATTGGCTTGATCAAGAGATAGGACCCCTTTCTCTTTATGTTCGCGTGTCATATCCAGCTTCTTCTCGACCCTCTCTGGAGCCCTATAGCACAGAACACTTAAAGAATACCAAATAAAGGTGTCTCCACCCGCACCGCAAAGAACCCACCTTCTGTTGGAAACCGGAAGTAGCACTCACAATCGGTACCTAACTCTATTCCCTTTTGCCTCCGCTGCCAGTCATGTGACCCTTATCTCCTTTCGCACACTTTTTCCCTGCCCCCTTCCCCGCCCCAACGACTTTGACCCTTCTCGCTCGACCGTTCACAGGGACGTCCTCCCAGCCTATCCTTTTCCTCCTCCACTCTTTTCTTCTTTCCCCTCCCCTCCAGAAACATCGATTTCTCGGCTTCTTCCGGTCACTTGACTCACACTTCCTCCGTTTCCTTCCACGATGAAACCATAGAGCCGAGCGTCGGAGCTCGGGTCAGAACGCCGGAGGGGGAACCGAAAGGAAGTGCGCCCTCGTCACGTGACAGGGCCGTGCCTACGCCTCGGCGGCCGCCATGTTGTGTGGCCCTTTGGGCGGCCGGGCCGGGCCAGGCGCCGGGGCCGGGGATGGCGGCCTCCTCCTCCTCCTCCTCGCCCCCTTCTTCCTCCTCGACCTCCAGTTCTTCCCCCGGCTCGTCCAGCAACTGGCTGTCTGGGGTGAACGTGGTGTTGGTCATGGCCTACGGGAGCCTGGTGAGGTCGCATGCCTGTGGGGCGGGGGAGGTTGAGGGAAATGCGCTGGAGATGCCGGCCGGCCGGCGGGCAGCCCCTTTCCGCCGCCGGGGAGAAGGAAGAAGGGCTGCTGCACGCGTAGGGACAAGTTCGGGAGAAGCGGCGCGGCGGCTGCCAGGGAACTTTTCTTCCTGCGAAGAAAGGGCCAGGAGGAGGCGGGACAGCGTTGCCATGGAAACAGCCTCCCTCCTTTACGTGCTTGCCCTCACCCTTCTCTTGCATCCGGTGTATGCCTGGCATGTATACATACAGCGTGTGTATACCTTCCTTCAATGGTGTGCCTTCCGGCGGGCTTGCCATGCGGTTTCTAGCCTTCCCTAACGGGGTCCTCCCAGAGGTACAAGACTACTTCCTCCAGCATCCCCTAACTTGGCTGGGGGATGCTAGGAGCAGTAACCCAGCACCTCTGGACGACATCCCATTGAGGAAGGCTGATTTATGTGTTCCTTGAGGCATCTCCTCCACCTCGCGACCTGGTATCCTCCAGACCTTGCTGGTCTGCAATTCCCAGCATTCCTGACTGCTGGTTTGGAGCCCATAGGAACTGCAGCCCAGCATCTCCGGAGGACAGTCCGTTGGAGGAAGGCTGGCTTAGAGACAACTTCCTCAATTTCTCACAATCTTGTGTCCTCCAGTTATTGGACTACAATCTAGCATAACATACTGTTGCCTATGTTTGCTGGGGCTGATGGGACCATTCCTTTGGAGACACCTGAATTCTATATATACCTTGAAACAGCTGTACCCCCAGGCAGGTGCCCACCCTCTAGATGTCGCTGAACTACATCTTGTACAATCATTCGCTGTTGTCCATGTTCGCCAGGGTGAATTGGAATGAGGTCTAACGCCATCTGGAAGGCTGCCTTTGAGGGCACATCGTCTAACACAGGAATCAGTACTGACCTGTGCTGCTGGTCCAACTAGCTGAGGCCTATCTGTTGTGCAGTCCTGATGATATTTCTAAACCCTTATTGTCAGTGATGTTATATTATGATGATTATGTTGCATTTATATCCTTTTGTGAGGAATCCAAGGGGGCTTACCTAGGTCTGTTTCCTCCTCACAACAGCAGCCCTGTGAGGAAGGTTGGGCTGCGAGTAGGATGGACCCCAGGTCAAAACCTCGGGGAAGACTGGCATGTGGCAATTTGAGATGAGCATGTCATGTCCATAAACAGGCATGGTTGCAAGTCTCTCCGTCGCTTTCCCTGGAATTTGGCTGATCTTGAGGCTTTCTGGCTCCAATCCAATGCAAGGGGGCAGACTGCAAGCCTGCATGGTTGTATGTGGGAGCAGGTAAGCTGAAGTGGAACTCCTCTGGGCTCAGCTTTGGTCTAAACATGCCCAGGATCAGCCTGCTCAGTGTGGCTGTACATGTCCTTTGTGGCCAGTCCGACGGAATGTCGTCTGGACTTGTTTCTGAGTGAGCCAAGCCTGGGATTGGGTTGCCAAGTTACAGGCCTGCCTGTGCTTTGTTGGAAATAAGCCCAGCTGAACTTTCTTGGACTTAGTTTTCAGGAAATGAATGCAGGAACAGGCTGCCTCACTGCGGCATTTGCCTTACGCCCAGGTCTTCATGACGTCTGCATAAACAGGCCTACAGCCAGGATATGCATCCACTGAACTCAGGGGGACCTCCTTTCGACGTAGACTGAGATTGCTACAAGTCTTTTGGACATCCTAGACAATAATTTTAAGTGTCCTTTAAAAATCTTAAATACGCTGACTCAGGTGTAATGGGATATGCCTCTCAGCTGGATTGCTACAAATCTCCCTGCATCCTTTGTTTGGAGTGAACCCTTTTGTGTTTGAGACGATAGGTTCCGGGAAGCTCCTCTCAGTTTGGCATTTTACATCCAAGGGCCCCAAGAAGGGTTCTTTCAGGGGGCAGTAGATAACGTGGAGGCAATGCAGCTGTTCTGCAGTGCTCTCTACTGAATCTTGGGCTGCCCTTACTGTCCAGAAGTGAACTTGCACACCGATAAGGTTGTACCATTGCTCAGGCAGGAGTATTTTATTTCTCAAGTCTTGGCATTGATGCCTTGCTTGATGTGCTGGTGTTGGTCTTCTGCTCTGTAGCATCGTGCTGCTGGCTTGCATACATGCCGTTTGCCGTATCTGTAACCCTGGGATGCTTCCTGTGTATGGATCGGGGCCTGCGGGTGCTATGAGCCGTCTTCAGAAACGTTTATGGTTCTCTTCCTCTCCTGTCTTTTCCAGGTTTTTGTGCTACTCTTCATTTTTGTGAAGAGGCAGATCATGCGCTTCGCCATGAAGTCCCGTCGTGGCCCCCATGTGCCGGTTGGTCAGCATGCTCCTAAGGTTTGTCAACGAATGGGGGTGGGCTTTTTGATTATTGGTTGCCCGAGCAGAAGAAGGGGTCAGAGCAGTCTTCCCTTGAGGGTCCTTCAGCTTAGAAAGCAATGGGCAGAGGCAGTTGTTCCAGGCTCACGGAATCAAGGGCAGGCAGTGGGGAGGAAACGTCCTCTTTGTGGGCTTCCTGGTGGCATCTCCTTTGCCACTCGAGGATGCAGAATGTTGCATGTGGTAACCAAGGGCCGGGGCACGAACCCACCCCAGTTAGGTCTGAGGCTAATTCCCGAGAGACAAAACTGCTTGTGTGAAAGACTGTGTAGCAGCTGAAGGCAGATCATGAACAATAAGGCAAAGGTAAGCTTACGTATGTCCCTTAGTCATTGGGCTCCCAAATATGATACATCTTGCTTGGAGCGCTGTTTGCTCAGACACTTGTGTGCCTCTTGTTCCGAGCTGAAAGCTGCAGAAGAAAACCTCCTGCCATGGATTTTATACAGTCACTCTCTCCCCCTGTTTCAGGGGCTGTTAATAAACTCTAAACTAGCCGCCTTCCTGGAAGTCAGGGGTAAAGAGAAATAGTAAAGCAAATAGTTTCATTTCTCAAACAGAAGTACCCCTTACCTAAAGAGTAAAATCAGAGAAAGCAGATACAAAGCTGTTCTCTCCAGAGTTCTGAGACCCTTCAAGAAACCCATCCTAGCCTCTAGCTACTGTGGAAGCTCTCCGCACTACCTGTTGAACCTTAATCACCTGTTCAGCATTGTTCCGGTCAGGCCCATCCCATGCACTGGACTAGGTCGGCTTTTGGTCTGACTCCGTGGGGCTCCCCCGATGTGCTTACAGTGGAGTCGGTCGCAGCACAAGGCGATGCTCTACCACTAGTAATGGAAATAGCAGTATTTGCTGTGCCAGGAAGAGGGGGCAGAGGGGAAGGTTGGTGTCCTGCACATCTGGCAGACACCAGGTCAAGTACAGCTGGGTTCCTACGCAGCAGCTGCCTTCCCTCTTCAGTCAGAGCTGCCCCTGTTGGTCCCTTGAGATTGCTTGGGAAGGAAGGTAGCAGGGCTAATCTGTCACTTTCCGTGCCCTTTGAACCGCCATCCTGTAGCCGGGACCCAAGCAGGCTTCGGCCAGCTCAGGTCTTTGGTCCTAGCTGTGTGCTACCTCTTGGCTCTCTCCCGAGCTGGCGGCTACTACAAATATTGCTTTAGCAGAAGGAGGCAGGGGCTGAACCGGGGACATCCCATGGGCAGAAGCGTGTTCCTGCATGAGCACTGGGCTCTGTGATGCCTTCTTCTCTCCCCTTGCCTCTCTGCTTAGGGCTTGAAGGAAGAGATCGACATCCGACTGTCGCGGGTGCAAGACATCAGATACGAGCCCCGTCTGTTGTCCTATGACGACGTCAGGCTGCTTCAGCTGGAGTCTCCTCGAAACCCGTGTAGTGTGTCCTGCGTGCGCTGAGGGGGGAGGCGGCGGCATGAGTGTGGGGGGCCCTGCTGCTGGCGCCTGCCGAGGAGAGTGGGATCTTGCTCTCACTCAGGCCTCTCGGCTCTCTTGTTTTCTTGCAGGTTCTTATAACTATGTATATAGGATGAAGGCCTTAGATGCTGTTAGAGATTCAGGTAAACAGAAGAAGCTGCCATCAGGAAGCATTCTGATTGGGTCGTCTCCGGCTGGCAAGTCAGCCTTCCCCATCCTGGTGCCCTGCAGATGTGTCAGACTACAACCTGCAGCACTCCCAAGCCACCTGGGTTGGTCGCTGTAGCTTGACATACCTGGGGGGCACCAGGATGTGGGCGGCAGAGCAGGGGATGTACCTGAGTCCTGAAGGATTCCAAAGGCTTAAACCGTGGCTTTGCTTAAACCGTGGATTTGCTTAAACCATGGATGGTTTAAGCAAAACATCTGGCGGGCCCTCGTGTAGCCCTCCAGGTGTTTTGGCCTGCACATCCCATCAATGCTAGCCAGCATTACCACTGGTTAGAAGGTCATGAGAGTTACAGGCCAAAATATCTAAGCATTGATTGGGGTTCTTAAGAATGTTGCCTTTTCTTTACTTTTTTAAAAGCCCCTTTTTAGCCCTGAGGGCTGCAAATGGAGATCTGCACGTGTTGGCTTGGCCTAGTAGCCAAGTGTTGTTTCGAGACGTCGGAGAGACTTCCTGCTTCGTTTGGTTTCAAGACACAAGGGGCTTTTGTGGGGTGGGAGGGAGGGGGAGAACCCTGGAGTCATCACACTCCTGCAGTCTTACAGCATGAGGTGTGGTTTTCTGGGCACCTGTTTCCCTTCCTTTCTGAGACTCCTTTAAAGCAGTAGTTCTTCGGCAGTCTATATTGACGGCTCCGGATGTGTTGGTTTCCTTGTTTCCTGGTCACTGGAAAAACGTCCCAAGTGGGTCTGTGGATTTCTGGCTGCAACTGCACTCCTGGAGGTGTGTGTGAGACAGGCAGCCAGAGGCACCACCTAACTGCTAGCCAGTCGTTTTGAGTTGCTATTGGGCGGGTGTTGAGAGCCCCAGCTATTTATAGCTGCTTGCACAGGCTCACAGGAGCAAAACAGGTCGTGCTCTTTCTTCTCCTTCACCAGTCCACACTGCAGAATTCCTAAGTCAGAGAAGTGCCCCTGTCTTTGTGGCCCGCTGAGGGTACGGACCACCCCTTCCTGTCTCTTCCTGTAGATATCCCGTTCTCTGCTGAAGGCCGGCACCCCAAATCCTTGATAGGGAAGAATTTCCGAGCCTACTTGGTGGACCTGCGGAACTCTAGCACCCCTTTCAAAGGCATCCGCAAGACTCTGATCGACACCCTCTTGGATGGGTATGATAACGCCCGCTACGGCACAGGGGTGAGTTCTCCTTGCCTGGGGCACAGCGAAAAGTAGTTGGGAGCTGAAAATGTGTTGGTGTGACGGCATCGCAGGCCGCAGGGTCTCCCTCTTGGCGGACAGCCTCGGAAATGCCATTCTCTTTGGGACTGCAGGAAGGCCACATTCTGTTGGGAGGGGGATGAGTGCAGGTGCGCAGCTTTCCCAACCGCTGGCCCAGGTGGGTGCAGTCCAGCGGGGCACCTGCAGCCCTTTGAACCTGGAGGACCCAGGCATTGCATTTGGGATGGACCGAGCTCTAAGGTGACAGTCAGCTCTGGGCACCTAAAGGCTTAGATGGACAATTTCAGCTAAGTCTTTTGTCCCTGCCCATGAGGAAGACAGGCTAAGGCGCCTGGAGCATCCACCCCATGCCAGCTCCGAGGGCAGTTGTGCAACCTGGAGGTGCAGCCACTGTGGTTCTTTGTACGGCGGTTGTGAAGGTGCTCCAAAACCAGCTCCAACCTTCTACTTTTTTTTGAGGTCAGAACTGCCACTCGGGCTTTGCGATGGTCATCCAGGCAGCAGCCAGCAGCTTGTGCCTTAAATCTGTTTTTATTAACATTGCTTAACATCATGAGAGCCAGTGTGGTGTAGTGGTTCAGAGCCTGGGACTGGGACTCAGGCGATCCGGGTTCTAGTTCCTGCTCGGCCATGGAGCCAACTGGGTGACTGTGGGCCAGTCACAGACTCAGCCCAACCTACCTCACAGGGTTGTTGTTGTGGGGATAAGATGGAGGAGGAGAATGGTATAAGCTGCCTTGAGCCCTTTGTAGGAAAAAGGCAGGATATAAATCGCAATATACATAAATAAGATAAAATTGCATATAGATAGTCATAACTGTCTTTTTTATTAATTTTAATAACATTTAATATTAACTATAGGTTTGAATTCACAGCTGGAATGAATCGAGTTTTTAATGTGCATAATTTGTATTTTTGTACTTTGTTTATTTATGTAAGCCGTCCTGAGGCAACTCAGGGAAAGGGCGAAGAAACAGATGGGTCTTCGGCATCTCTCTAAAAGTGAAGTGTCGCTGCATGGCTAATCTTAGGGAAGCTTGCTTTGTATTTTGTGTGTTGAACAATGGCACTCAAAATTCCCTGCATCAAACGACTGCCCGGCTAGCAGATGACTGGTTATAGCCTTCCCCAGTCTGGTAACCGCCAGGTCTTTGGGAGTACAACTTCCAAAATTCCTGACCATTATTTGTGATCTTATTAAATTGACATTGTTTGCTTCCAGCAGCAACAAGGATGCTCCTAAACTTAAGCTGGGAATCCCGTTTGTGGGATTGTGGCGCTCTCCTGTTGTGCCAAGGAGCAGGCAAACGCCTGTCTAACTTAACGATGATGGCATTTTTACCGGGTGCAATTTCTGAGCAATTTCCATCCTTCATCTTGTGATCTTTCTTGCGTGCACATACAAGATTTGGCCCCTTGCTCCACTTATGTACTCTTAATTCAGTACAGTTCACAACCACTTCTTGCTTTTTCCTGATCTGCCTCAATATGTAGTGTGTGTGTGGGGGGGGGGGGGCGGAGGGGAGGTAAGATGGTGCAAGGGAACCACAGTTGGGAGGAGAACCACCAGCTGTTCTTAACCTCTTGTTTCTTCTGCCTTAGACTTTCGGCAAAGTAGAATTCCTCAAGTACCAAGAAGCTTTGTATGAGCTGGCAGCAATGTGAGTTGTGGGGATGAGGCAGGGGTGGGGGCAGAACATATCTGGGGCATGTTGCCTTCCCCTGGAACCATGTGGGGTACCAGTTGTAGACTGGAGGGGTGGTGATGCAGTGGTGACAGTGCTGGGAATGATGAGAGTTGCAGTCCACCCTGTCTGAAGGAAACCAGCTGCGGGGATGGCTACCCTGTGGAACTTAACCCTCTTGTAAGCCCAGCACTGTGTTGCCTGTTTAAAGTACTATTATTATTATTATTATTATTATTATTATTATTATTATTATTACATTTCTATGCCGCCCCTTGCCGAAACCTCGGGGCGGCTTACAACACAATAAAATATATTGAAATACAATAGAACTTAATAAATTACCATTAAATAAAAAAATACAAAAAATACATTGAGTTACAAATATAAAATTAAAATTATCAGTATAAAATAAGCAAATAAAAATATAGGAGGAGAAAGAGAAGGAAGAAGAAGTTGCCCTGGCCAGATCATATGTTTTAACAATTAAAATGATGTTTAAATAAAAAGGTCTTTACCTGGCGCCGAAAAACCAGTAACGACGGTGCCAGGCGGACCTCTTTGGGGAGTGAATTCCATAGGTTGGGCGCCACCGCAGAGAAAGCCCTCCTCCGAGTACTTACTCTCCTAATTTCTTTCATGGAGGGTTCCCGAAGAAGGGACTCTCCCGCAGATCTCAAAGGGCGGTCGGGCATATACGGACGTAAGTGCTCGTTCAGGTAGCCAGGACCCAAGCCGTTTAGGGCTTTATAGGTCATAATCAACACCTTGAATTGGGCCCGGGCTTCAATGGGGAGCCAGCGAAGCTGACGGAGGACTGGAGTCACGTGAACATAACGCCCCGTCCCCTGCTGTTCAACTGAAAAAGCTCCAAGGGGGGCTTGCAGAGCAAGATAAAAAAACCCAGCAAACATAGACGCTGTCTTTGCATTTTCCATCTAAAAAGATAAGGCACGAAAGGAAAGAGGGCTGGGGGAGAAGTGCAAACAGGAGACGTCCTCAGAACCACCATTCTCGTAAAGACTGGCTTGAGAATGGGAAGCATATGGGATACGTATTGCTAGGTGACGTGTGGGCCTCACTGCATTTTTGCCTACAAGTCCCACCAGCCCTCACCACCGGCTGTGCTGGCCAGGGCTGCTGGGAAGTGTAGGTCAGGATCTTCGGAGGACTACAAGCTGCCCGCCCACCCCCCAAACTGGGAGACAGTGGAGGAGAAAGAGGTCCTCAGCCACTCCTGCCGGGATAGCCACTGCATTGTGCTCACAGCCCCGGTTCCGACGCGTGTGGCCAAGCCGTGCTCTGATCTGGCCACTGTGTCCCTCTCTCCCCGCGCAGCATTAAGGCCCGAGGAGGTGGCAGCCAGCGGCAGCATCAGTCGGCAGCCAAGGACCTGACCCTATCGCCTGACATCTCCGGCCCCACCATCCAGGTCACCTACCTGCCCTCCAACCAGAAGAGCAAGCGAGCCAAGCACTTTTTGGAGCTCAAGAGCTTCAAGGACAACTACAACACGCTGGAGAGCACCCTGTGATGGCGCGGCCCCCCACACCGGAACAGGGCGCCAGGGGCATCGCCCCTTCTCTCGCGGCCCGGGGCTGCTCTCGCGTTGCCCGCCTGGACCAGGAGGGCCTTTTGCCTGTGCGTGGGCAGATGGCCACTGCCCACCTCTGTCGGCCATCTGAAGCGAAGCAAGTTCTTGCGTTCAGGTGGCGTTGCCCTGAAGCATTCCCCGCCGCACACAAGCACACTTGCCGTCTGTAAATAAGACACATGGTTACCTCTTTAATTTATTGAGAAAGGATTTCAGGCCCAGGCATGTTTCTCCCTTCCCATGATCTGCTGAAAGAGCCAAGATTGAGCCGGTGGGAAGCCCGTCATCTGCCCTCTTCCACAGGGGAGGAACAATCCCTTGTTTTACTTCTGTTCCTTCTGCCGGGCACCCGCCTGTGTTGGTTCCCCCCCCCCCTCACTGTTCCTTCACTGGGTTTGACCCTGCTGGCAGCCACCCTGAGATGGCTCTTCCTTGCAGGCAGTGGGAGACAGCCTGGCTGGTTTGTGAATGGTTATTGCGGCGGGGGGGGGGGGTGCTTTCCTGCAGCCTGCCCTCCTTGGGCTGGGTTCTGCTGAGAAGGCGGCTTGCTCCTGTGGCCCGTTCTCTTCACCCACGTGCTGCCCCTGAGCTGAAGTGGAAGCTGGGCAGAGGGCGGTGCCTGCGGGGTGGGAGTGGCCGCGTGGCTGGCGCCGCTTTCGCTCGTGGCTCTCGGCGCAGGCCCTGCCAGCCCTTCTCCAGGAATGGGGCCACAGTCGGGCCTCCTCTCTTTTTAACGCTGCTGTTTAATAAAACGGACACAAGCCTTGCGACGAGCTCCTTGTCTGCGTGCCGTCTTTGTCGTGGGCTGGGGCCGCCTGGGCAGTGCCGTCTGCCTCCAGGGACTTGGGCTTGCTGCGAGCGGCTTCCCCGCCCTTGGCACCCCTGGCTTGTTGTTGGGCTGGTCCATGTGAATGGACAGCAGGCTCGGGCAGAAAGAGCGTCCACCTGGAAAGGTGGTGCGCATCATTTCGTGACTGGCGCTTGTTCGGAGGGAGGGAGATGTACGAGGAAACCCTGCAGCAAAAGCCCTGCAGGCAAGCTGAGCTGGATCTTGTGATTCTTTCAGCCCCCCAGCCTGAGCTCCCACCACCCCCAGTATAATCCAGCCCTGGGGGTTTCCCAAAAGGCCGCCTTCTCCACAGGCTGACTAGCATCAGAGCATCAAGTCGCTTCAGGCTGCTCTCCCCTGGCCCAGCTCCTCCAGAATGAAACGTGGCCCTTGGGCTGAGAGAGACTCATGCTGCCATGCTAGATGCTGGTTGCACTACAGCTCCTATCAGCCCCAGACAACATGGCCAGTAGCTGAGAATGCTGGGTGTTACAGTCCCACCTGGCTGGGGCAGAGTGCTTCGGTGTGATCAGAAAGTGCAGCCTCGTTGGCCCTTCCAGGTGAGAGAGCAAACTCACGAGCAAGGAAGGCTGAGAGAGCGACCTGGCCATGGGTACCTCCTGGAGCGCTCCAGGGCTGAACGAGGGACTCCTCTGGCGACAGGTGGGCACAGGGCAAGACCGTTCTCTCTGCTGTGCACTGCATCCAGGTGAAGGCCTGCTAGGATCCCTTTCAAGGTTGAAACAATCTGAGGAAGCAGCCTTTCTAAGCCACGTGGCTCTACTGCTTTGACTAGCAAAAGCTGGCAGGAACGTGCTTTCACTGCATTGATTTCTTACATGGATTATCATCAAGGTACGACTGGGCAGGTCAGTGCGTGAGATTTTCAAACATGTAAAAATAGAGCACAGCAATATAGCAGGAGGGATCTGAAAATAATGAGGTGTGGTGGTTTGAGTATTGGTTTGGGAATCTGGGAGATCTGGGTGGTTTGCCCCCATTCATCCAGGAAGAGCACTGGGTGACTTTGGACCCTTCCGTCTCAGTCTAACGTACCTCCCAGGGTTGTTGCGAGGATAAAACGGAGACGGGGGCTGCGTAAGCCACTTGGAATTCTTCCCAAGAGGAAGGATCTAAATGTAGTAAGATGGTTCAAATGCACTTAATTCTGTCTCCCCTCCCGCCAAAAAGCAACCCTCATAAAAATGTGTTCAGAACACAGTCTAGAAATGGCAAGGAAGGGGCTGGACCCACCGCCATACTATCAGCCAGCCTCTGGCCCTCTGGATTTTTCAGGATTTGAATTCCCCAACAGTCCCTGGATTGAAGAGTGCTACATATTTATCATTTTATATACTTAATGAGTAAACATTGGATTTCTAAGCTGCCCCATTAAGTGACATGGCTCCCTGGGCAGGTTGCAACTAGGAAAACCATATAAAACAGTAAAAATACCACAATCACGAAACGGGATGCATCATGCCATCATGAGGATGCCCTTAGGAGAGAATGCCTGGGCACTGCCATTCACCTGCGTATATAACTGGGTGGCAGAGGGGCTACTCCAGTCAGTTCTCCCACCTCAGTGCCCACTGCGTGTGTTGGACTCCAGCTCCGTTCACCCCCAACATGGGGGTAATGGGAGTTGTATTCTAATGCACCTGGAGGCATAAGGTGGTAGGTACATAGCACAGGGTCGGACATGGAGCAGTTCCTAAGAAACATTTGCACAGGCAGGAAAATCCGTGCTGGATCAGGCCAGTGGTTCAGTTAGTCCAGTGCGCCACGTGACTCTCGCAAGCGGGAATCTCATGCGCCACGTGACTCTCGCAAGCGGGAATCTCATGCGCCACGTGACTCGCAAGCGGGAATCTCATGCGCCACGTGACTCGCAAGCGGGAATCTCATGTGCCACGTGACTCTCGCAAGCGGGAATCTCATGTGCCACGTGCAACTGGCCACGTGCAACTGGCCATGGACAGCCTTCTCCATGGATCTGTCCAACCCTTTGTAAAGCCACTCAAACTGGTGGCCCTTGCTGCTACTTGTAGCAGTGAATTCCATAGTTTGACTCCTCACAGTATAAAGAAACCCTTTGTTTTATCTCTCCTGAATCGGATTATCCAGGTCTAGGATGATGAGAGACAACGAAATACATCTCCCTTTCCGATTTTTCCACACCATGCATAATTTTGGTCACCTCTTCCACTTTAAGTCCTGACACTCAGTCCCCAGGAACTGATGAGTGTGGCAGAAAAACACCACGTGTGGTACAGCGAAGTGTTCTCTCGTACACGGATGCAACTGTACGAACAAAGAACACCTTTATCGCTCTTGGGGCAGTCTAGCTGCAGGAGTCGAGGCTGTCATGCATCCTGTGGCCACGGGGTGGTGGCCTTCTCTTGAATTGGGGACTATCCTCACAGCACCAGGTCGCTCATTCCACCACTGTGTAAGGGGAAGCAGCTCAGGAAGGACCTTGGAGCAAAGGCGGTTCCCAGCTTGGTTCGATGCGCTGCTTTTTTTTCCGTGGGCAATGCTCAGATCATCACCTTGTCAAAATACATCACATTTGACGAACGCCAGGTGGAAGAATGCCTGAATGTGTGAAAGAACGTATCATTCAAACATGTTCCGATAGTCCCAGGTGCAGCCCTCACTTTTAAACTTGCAAAATGTGGAAGTCTGTTCCACCAGGTAAGATAGTTGATTCCTTATTTATTTAGAAGGCTTCTATGCCGCCCCAATCGCTGAAGCCTTGGGGCGGCTCACAATAGTAAATAAATACATAAATAAGGACAGAATAAAACAATATAATATGATATCCTGTTATGATAAGTTCCGAGAACAGTCCAAGATTTGAGACATGTGCTTAAATGATGATGCTTTATCCTTGAAAATGACACATTTCTGCTAGTGTTTTTCTCCCAAAGCTACAATACCTCACACTTGCTCAAAAACAGGCAAACTGTCTTTTGGAGAAAAGGTGAATTTGACACACCTCTTTAACAGGTCAGTGAGAAATCTGCAGTAACAAACCATGGTTTGTCAGCCCTATGAACAACCCGTGAATAGAACCTATTGTTCGTTCACTGTGGTTTATCATCTCACCTGGCTTTAGACAACATGTTTCAGGGATAACCCACAGTTAACAGCAACTTATGCTCAATCCTTGAATGTGGATTATTGTGTTGTCTGAACCTGGCTATTGTGAAAACTTTGCAGGTTCTGCCTCTGAACTTTTTCTTGGACAAGTTAAAATCATGTCCAAGGAAGGGGCTGTGATAATGAGAGGTTTAACCAGAAGACTAAAGTCAAAATGGTCAGAGTGTTGGGCTGGGACTCAGGAGATCCCAGGAGAGAAACTCATTAGGTGCCTGTGGAGAGGGCCAGTCAGAGGAGGGTTTTGCCCGAACCCTCCTCAAAGGACTGTTGGGACGATAAAAAAGAGAGAACCATGCACCCAGCCTTGGTTGCCTTGGAAGAAAAAAAGAAGGATAAATACGTAAATAAGCTCATTGGCATCTGAGGTCAGGATACGCTGTGGCTGAAATTCTTTCCACCTGCCCCTGCTCCAAAGGTCTCCTCCAAACAAGCTTTTTCGCTGCAAGAGACAACGATGCACGGCACAGGTCCTCCCAGCCCCCCAGCGGCCACCTCCACCTGTGCTCTGGAGCCTTGGCGGGCCACCTGGCCAGAAACAAGGTCTTCCTCTTTGGGCGGCATGGCCCAATTTTGCGCCACGGCGGCCAGCCACGCATGGCCGAGTGATGTGATTCAGGGCGACGGCCTGGCTAATGAGCGACGGGGGCTGGCCCCGTTTGGCTTGGTCCTGTCAATAACCGGAACTGGCCTAGGGAGTGATGGGCCCCAGAGCAGGGAGACACCAAGGTCATCCTCTTGCAGAAGGATGGGGCGGGTAACCGGGGGGGGGGAGTGCCTGGGTGAGGAGGGGGCTGCTCCTGAGTGCAGCTGGGCCTGTCTCTCCCCCCTGCGGCTGTGTGTGGCTCTGTTTAAATCCCCATGGTGTCTGCGTGGCACTCATGTCCTTCCTCCGTGGCAGCAGCCATCTCAGAGGGCCGCACGTGTCCGTACGCTGCACGTCCTCGGTCTCCACATCTGCCTCCCCGTGCCTCCGTGTGGGCCCATCTCTGTGGGCCTGCCTCTTTCCACACGTCTCTCTCTCTCGCTGTCTGTCCGAGTGCCTCTGCTGGCATCTATTGCGCGAGTGTCTCTCTCCTGCCGCGTGTCAGTAAGACGCCTCCCCCTCCTACCATGGGCCTGGCTGTGCATCTCCCTCCATGACTGTTGCGCGATATTTTTCAGTTGTGCCACCCCCCTCCCCACAAACGCTTTTCTCCACTTGCTTCCCCACTTGAACCTCATGCTGGGACTGTGCGTGTCTGTCCCTTCGTTTGTGGATCGCGAGTCTTTGTCTCTCCTTCTCTGGATGGAGGTACGTATCTCTTGGGGTGCTTAAAAGTTATCTGAATAGGATTCCCACCAAAAAGTAAATAAACCAACAAAGAGAGCACACCCTGCCGGGTCAAGGACGTTCTCAGACCATCTCCACTTACTGACCATAGAAACACAGAAACAGAGCGAGTCAGAAGGGGTCTCCCGGGCCATCTAGTCTGACCTCCGGCACCAGCCGACTCCGCTCACGACATGCCCACCATGTGGACGTCCAGCCTATCCTCGAACACCCTCACCGATGGGGCCTCAACGACCTCTCATGGGAGCCCATTCCACACCCTCGGGGTCCTGACTGTCAGGAAGTGCTTCCTGGCATCCAAATGAAACCTTGGCTCCCTGAGCTTTGCTCCGTTGGAGTGCGTCCTGCCTTCCTCTGCAGGGGAGAACAGGTCTCTACCCACCTCCATGTGACATCCTCTCACATGCCTGTATGTCGCCAACAGATCCCCTCTGAGTCTCCTCTCCTCC